AGAAGTATCCAGTTACAGGCACTATCTTAAAAGGATATGAAGGTACATGAATAAAAGACTTGAACTTCAACATTAAGTTAAAGGATAACCTTTTTAAGGTCAAAGAACTCTGAAAATCTGATGATCCTCTCTAAGAAACAATAAATATACCTCCAATGCCCAATCATAAAGTCCAAGTTGAGATCTATGATAATTTTTCAAAATATTAAAGTATTAAATATAAGTACTAAAATGCATAGAAAAAAGGCTAGAAGGAAATAGTCTTAAATATAACTAGATGATAATATTATGATTTCTTTATACTTTAATATAAAAATAATTTGTTTTTATAATAGGACTATAGAGGAACAAACATATCTAATACTGCCTGTAACAAACAAATAATTTAGCCTCTTTTTTGGAAACTTGTCAGAAAATGGAAGTTTATATTTGGCACCTTGAACATCCTTCAGAACAAAAATGTGTCTCCTCACAGTGACAGGCTTGCAGTGTAGATGGAGCAGACTAAGAGCACATAATCGTTAGTTAATTCAGATCTGTGTAATTAATGTGTCAGTGCTAGAAATGTCTCTCCCCGCCCCACCCTAATGTAAATTGTGAAATTGCTGAGAAAGAGCAGGGTGAGTGGGGGATCATAGTTGCAGGGAAAAGGCCACAAATCCAATAAACTATAACAATACAAAGATGAAGGTATAAAACCAAGATGAGGATAGCCCTTCATTTGTCCAGCATCACGACTGAAATTTTCTTTTAAAAATGGAGAATACTCCCTTTAAATGCAAAACTTCTATCTTAATCCTATTAAATGGAAAACATCCTCTAATGGATTAGAGACTTGTCTGCCTTGTTGAACTGTGTGCTTAGTTCTTGAAAATCACCATCAACACCCCCAATTGTCTTCAAAAAGGGGTAAACAGCAAGTACATAATCAATGCACCACAGTGAGAGACCAGAGAGGAGAGAGACTAATTCTGAATAGGAGGAAGAGGCTTCCTGGTGGTGACTTTTAATGGTGGTGGGGTGAAGGATGAGTAGGATTTCCTTAGAGGAAGCAAAGAGGGAAAGCGAGGAGGATGTTTCTGGAATGATGAACAGACCATCAGAAGGAGATGGAGAAAGTGAAAACTAAGTTGGGTCAGACTATGAAAAGTCCTAAAGAATCTCCCAAGGGGTTTATACTTTCTTCTGCAGGAGGTGGGGACACAGCTGCACGAGGGGAGTGACAATTTTATTTGTAATGATGAGTCTCTGTACCTGTCTTCTCCTTACTAATTTTCTGCAATCTAATAAAATTTCAGAAATTCTAGTGTTCAGCATCTAACTGACTACTTAAGGGACTCTCCTTCAGAGCAGAGACCAGTGTCTTTTCACTACTTCCATTTATTCCCCAGTCCTGTGGTGTGGTAAGGAGCAACACTTACTTCCTACTCCTCATATTCGCAGGTGAAGAGAGTTCCTAAGAGTAAGCCTCATGGGGTAAATGACTAATATTTATCAATGGATGGTGAAATATTACCTATGTACCTTTGCTTAATAGGATACCAGTTGAAGCTAAGCTGGAAATTTAGGGAAGGCAGTTCTCAGTTATTATACTTGGTATTCTTTTTCTCTCTCTGAGCAGACTATAATTAGGTAAAATAGCATATAGATACTGAAAATTCCTGTGGTGGGCCACTGACAACTTCCTGTGATAGAGAAAAAGAAACCATGGAAGTGTTTCAGATATGATAATATCTTGAAGAAATCTGAATTGTCTGTTAAGGAATTGAATGCCTTGGGAAGCAATGTGCCCACCATTATTGAAGGGTTCAAGCCTCGGCTGGTCTGCCCCCTGGTGGGATCTGGGAGGCACTGGAGGGCAGTATTAACATTTAAGAGTAGATAACCCTGAATCAGTTCAGGCTCTGTTATTTATTTGCTGTATGACCATAAGCAGGTTACTTAACCTCTCCAAACCTTCAGTGCCCTCATCTATGTAATAGGGATAATATAATGCACCTCACAGTGTTGTTATGAAAAACAAATGAGAGGGCATTTGCAGTTCAGTTAGCACTGTGCTTGGCACATAAACATTCAAAAGAAACCAATAATAAAAATAATTATCATAACATCACTATGAGTAGAGAGAGAGTCAAGCTTAGGATGGGAAGGTGACCTAGATGATATTTAAGGCCCCTTTTCACACCAAGAGTCGAAGAGTTTATGTCCTTCACTGATGTTTCATATTCTAGAATTAAGGCTATTCTCTCCCTGCAAAGGCACCACCAATTCGTGTGTGTTTGCTAGAAGTATTAGCAAGCAGTCCAATAAACGGCAGGCATGTGTAAAAGATGTTTAGAGCGCACTGTATACAGTACACATGCATCAGAGGTTTGTGGCTAATTCTGAACAGATGGGGCGAGTGACTCACAGGGCCCTTTCTCCATGGAAATGTCAATAGAAGAAGAGGATCTGGAAAGAGACTCCCCCTCAGCATAATCACTAACAAAGCAAAATGGTGAAGAATCAGTTTACCTAGGTACCCTACCTTTTCTCAGTTTCATAACTAGAAAGAATGCAACCAAATATTTCAAACGTTTGCACTTTCAGAATAATTTTATTTATTCTGGAGTGCTAGTTGACTGTGTCAAATTCTTCCAAGGCTGCCTTAAACTTCTCCTTAGGGCTTATAATATTCTTCTAGAGGCTCAATTGACCATTTCAGAGAATTAAATGGCTACTTCAGTCAAAATATCTAACCAACAAGTAGTGGACTGATTTTCTATCTTGTGCCCCAGGATTACAAGGCTGTAGTTACGATAACTGGAAAAGTTAAGATCTGGTTCCTATTAATAGATATGAGGGGCCCCCTGCAAGTCAAATATAAATAATTTTAATAATTTGCAAATATATAGTGTTCAAGTGGTTTCAATGACTGTCAAATGTACTATCTCACTTGATATAACAGAAGATAGACCGGGCTTATATTCTGATCTTCATTTAAAGATGAGGGGAAACTTTGAGTTCAGAGACGCTAAGCCCAAAGTCCCATGGCTGATAAATGACAGAGCCAGAACTTGAACGCAAGTTTTAGCCTCAGAATCTGACTCTATTGTTCAATACTACTTCTAAAAGAGCCTTATTTATAGTCATAGAATATCTCTATAGTTAGAAAATGGGGTTCAATAAATATTATGGATGACCTAAGTTTACTGTAATTCAGGATAATATTTTCATGATTAGTTTTAAAATTTAATCAAAGTTGAATAAACATTTTTAGCTTATGCAAAAAAATTATATAAGGAGAAATATTTATAGCACATATATACAATACATAAGTCTACAAACACTACATCAGTCATTACCCACAAGAATTAATGGATAAATACATCCTTATGCAAATGTGGCACTGTGTACCACTCTTCAATTTCCTGTTAAGTGAAAAGATGACCTTGACTTGAGCAAAACCCCAGGAATGATATTAGATCACTTATCTCTGTTACTCTGGCTATCAGCAAAATAAAGTAGGTAATTCCATAAATCATTTCACACACATACATACACACCCCCATCCTTCTGTAATAGTACCACAACACAAGTAAAACAGCCCTCCTTTGTCATTTCCACCGGTAAGTCTTCATCAGACATTTTGCCGAGAAAGTTATGCTTTGTAATACTTGATGTGAACTGCAGGAAGTTTCTTAGAGGTCAAAGTGTGCTTAATAGTGAGACTGCAAATGGCCTTCAGCTGTGTGCCTATCACACAGCGGGTACTCGAATACAGGTAAGTCATAAATACATGTTCATCTCCTAAATAAAAGATTACAGAAATATCCTATGCCCCGATTTGATTCCCTTAAAATCAACTTGAGAAAAAATATATGGGAAATACTGGGCATATATAAACTGGTCAATCATGTGGTTAACAACTAAGACAAATATTATCTATTATGCTATATATACCTATTAAAACGACACTCACAAATCAAAATACTTCATACTTCGAGGTTTTCTCTATTATTTTCTTGCCAATATTAATTAACTATCATTTATTTACAGAGACATGGAATGTCACATTAGCCAGTACTTTTAAATCAATTTTATTCACAACAATGTTTATTTCCCAAGTTTGGTCAACAGAAGACCATAACTGGGTGAAATTCCTACCAAATGCATCAACACTCTCCGGATCTCCACATTTTGCCAATTTCGGACTTCCTGACCTGGCCTGCCTAAGCAAGGTCTATCCATTTACTCTCTCTGCGTGAAGTCTGAAAATCAGCTCCAAAGCCTCTTGAGTGCAGCTTTTGCTTAAAATGAGGCTAATGCTCACAGACTATACAGGCCTCAACATTTGTTGGCTGCAATTCATTTCTTCATAACCGGGCATATTCGAGACATGACATTGTGGTCAGTGAACGCTTTCTC